TTTGAATATGAAATTTTGGGTATAATTACATGAAAGTTTAGAAAATTTCTCAAAAAAATTTCAATAGATAAGAAACAAGTTTTTAGTTATGTATTGACACAAAAATTGTTTGAAATCGTTTCCTATAGTGAAGGAATTTCTTTCATGAATGTATTGTTACGAAATATAGGGTTCATATTATGAAAGTTTCAATCTTTCTTTAGATTGATATTGTTTCATCGATGTAAAACGAAAAATTGGTTTGAGGGTTTTAGTTCCCCTGTTATTTTTTCACTGTTTTATGTTGTTTTTAATAAAAAAATCACACGTTTTTTGTGCCAAGAAAAACCGCGACCCATAGCTTGAAAAATCACTTTTTAAACTTCTAAAATTTCTCAAAAAATGGCTCAAAAATATGTTATTTTTGAGATAGATTATATTAAAATATCGTTGGTTTCTTGTTTCTGTGTTGTTTTGTGATAAAAATCGCTCAAAAATATGTTTTTTATTTTATTTTGATGAAGCTCCCATGGCGGAACCCAATTTTGAGCGGTCAACCTGTCAAAGGAAGAAGAAAACACTGCAATAGAAGAATCTCAAGAAATCCTAGGGGTTAGGGTGAGATTATGAGAGAGACATGAAGAATCAAAGTGATGATATGGCTGCCACGTACTCAAAGATGATACAATTGATGATTCCACGTCAGCATAATTTTGATGATAACAAACAAGTCAAAGAAGAATGCTCAAAGACAAAGCAAAATCCAAAAGAAATCAAACATCAAGCATATGTGAAAGCATCCAAGTCAAGTATCCAGACAAGTCCAAGATCTCTATGATATATCTACTTAGGACTTAGGAAAATATGTAAAGGTGTATAGATCCTAGCATTGCATGAGCTCAAGTCATTCATATCGTATAGTACTTAAAGAACCTTGATCTAACTAGCTAAACACGCATTAAAAGGTTTTTAAGTAACTTAAGCACACAAGCAACATGCCAAAAATATTTTGTGGCTTTCAAGTTTTGAAAAGAAAGCATCCTTAAAGAATTGACAAGTCAAATGGTTTTATAAGTCCTATATTGGTTTGGAAAAGGTACATTCATGATACAAACATTTCTAAACAATTTCCATAACCAATTACATGCATTACAAATCATAGAAACCATTTTGAAAGAAAAGAAAAGAAGATTTCGCACAAAAAGGATGCTGCCATGAAATATCCAGATATTTTGGTAAGAATATCCGGATATCAATATCCGGATATATGGACAAGAATATCCGGATATCACATATCCGGATATGGGCCCGATGAATATCCGGATATCTACAGTCTGCAACGGCTATAAACGGCTATAAACGACTAGTTTTCATATGAGGGGTCATTATAAATACTCACATCAATGGTAATGAACAGTGGACGACCATAGATCATTTATTGAACCTTTATTACTCATTCTAGCTCACTAATTGCTTATTTTACTCATTACATATACTTGAGCTCATCTTTCCTTTGAAGCTATACATCTCTTAGTTCTTCAATTTGTGAAATCTGTACTTTGAGAGTACTTAGCCACTTTTAATCACCTCAATCTTATTTCTTGATTTGATAGGGGAGTGAACCCTATACTTGAGAGGTCACCAAATTCCTAAGTAAATTTAGAGTGAAAAATTGTGAGGCATCAAGAGCCCGAAGTCTTGAAAGGTTGTAGAGGTTTGTCAAGCACCCTCAAGCTTGGTAGTTAGTGTAAAAAATTGATCGAGCGGCTTCAGTCTGGATGTAGGTCACAGTGGTGGTGACCGAACCAGGATACATCTAGTTTGCAATTTCTCTAACCTTTACCTCTTTACTTTATTATTGAAATTGCATCTTTAGATTGTCTTTATTCATTCGCTTGCTTACTTTGTTATCTCTACACTTGCTCTCACACTTAGATTTTTTCTTATTAAATCACTTTATTGAAGAAATAGTCTTTAAAATTTCAAAGGAGTCACTTTGCGAAAAGATTTTGTAAAACTCAATTCACCCCCCTCTTGAGTATTGAAGCCACTTGTCCAACAAGACATTCTATTTATATTTTTCACTAAAAAGTCTCACGAAATCCGCACCAATAAAAAAATCCATTAAAATCTTCGAATTTTTTAATACCACGAGATTGTGATTTCATTGTTTAAAATTCTGATTGAATACCAACAGATTTGGACGGATTCTAAAATAATCCTTTAAAATCCTAATCGAATAACACGTGACTTTTTTTCAATCCATTAAAATCCTAATCGAATACCAACGGATTTTTTTGTCCGAAAACAGTCCATTAAAATATTTTGAAATCTCAATCGAATACACCTCCCTAAATGTGTTCACTTTAAATTTCTTAACCTTGAGACTAAATTTTTTTTTTTGTAAGGAATTAAAATGAGGACTATATTTTTTGTTAAAAATCCAAAAAGATATTTACTCTTGAAGAAAAAAGTCCAATACGTATTTTTTTTTTACTTAATATTCTAAAAAAAAAAAACTATTTTTCGGTAGACAATTTTCACAAATTTTAGTAGGACATTAGTACCCCAAATATTGTATACGAATATGTGAAATTTTACGAGAGACTGAATTACTTAATTGTGTCTCGAATTTTAATATAAACAATAAGAAAATTATTTTCCCAGCCTAGGTTTAAACACAACACAGCTACATGTAATAACTATACTTCATAATTATTATATTAATATGAAATAATTATAATTAGTACCAATTAGTATTGATAAAATGATTAGATTATACCAATTAAGTGTGATTAATATCAATTAGAATTAGACTGATATTAATCAAGTAATCAAAAACAACCTCTTAGCAACACTTGCTCGACATGCTACATACCTCACAATTAAGTTTATTGGGCTTTTTCACCCTTTTGTCCCTTATTAATTAATTAATAATCATTTTGCCCCTGATTCGAAACTATCTACCAATTTGCCCCTCTTTAATCGACTACCTTACATTTTTAATCGACTAAATGGCCAAAACAGGCAAAAATAGCTGTTGGGAGATTTAATCGACTAAATCTCCCAACAGACAACAAAGGAAAACAAGTCAGTATGATTTTTTAACCGATTAAGTAAGGAGATTTAGTCGATTAAAGAGGAGCAGATTGGTAGATAGTTTCGAATCAGAGGCAAAATGATTATTAATTAATTAATGAGGGGTAAAATGGTCAAATAGCCAAGTTTACTGCCATGGCTAATTAGCTTCATGCGTCTCCCGTGAAAGATAGATGTGATTTGTCAAAAAAAATAAAAATTATCTAGATTAACATCATAATCGTTATTAAAATCTTCATACACAACTCATTGAATCTGGCCTTTACCGTTACCACTTTCAAATTACATTATTTAATTATTAATTAAACAAAAAATTAGCACCTCCACATAACTTCTCGAAGCAGGGATGCATCTCATAAGCTACAATATAATCCTAAAAATGTTCAAGGAACCAAATAACAGAAAAAGTACGCGTTGACCAAACAAATCCCATGACGGAACACTCAACATCACGAACACTAGACAATGTAAAATGCTCAGCAACAACCTTAACAAAGCAAGAACCAAAAATTGCATCTATACTGTTCTTCACATTGACATTAAACAACCAGTGAGAAATGACCCTTCGCAAACTTTGTGGAGGATGAACCTAACTACCAGCCGTATAGCACTTACAAAAACATGAAAAATAATGGTATCTACAATGGCAGAAATGCTAATAGGCTCACCGTGACATAATACACTGAACAACCTCCTTCAAGACTTCGTCAAGTCAGAGGAGGCATGCATAGTAGTAAAAAATTAAAAATATAAAGGGACGAAATTAAAGTACAGTATATTTGAGAAACCTTAATATTACTATAGACAGAGCATCAACAGCTTATTTAGCAGGGAGAAAAGTCTCTCAAGCTAGAACTGGACCATGAATTCTCATTATTAGTATCCACCATTTACTATATGGCATGTGCACAAACCACTCACCATTAAAGATAGAAACCCAGGTGCGTTTACTTCAACGGCCAAAAAAACAGGTGGTCGTACTACTACATTAAGCAATGTTTACGTACAAACCAATTATTCATAACACCTCCCTTTCCTAGACAACTCATTTATTAGTAGTAGATAGAGGATAAAGGCAATTAAATTATAGGAATGAAGCTCTCTATGCTACATGCCAACCACCTATCCACGTACTTGAATAAAAATGCAGTACTAATATATACTGAAGGGTGCTATACCCCAAATTTGTACTACTGATCTTGTGACGAATTTAGAAAATGCAGAGAAATGCTTTCTCAAGACCAAACCATCCCTCCCGTCCCGTCCCGTCCCATCCCCTCTCCCCTACAAGTGGCCATCCCATATTGAAAGTAAATAGACAATCAGATGTTCCTAAAGACAGATGGATGCCTTAACACAAGCAAAATATTAAAAAATTATCAAAGGTAAGGAATCCCTGAATGACAAACGGATGCCTTGAACACTGCATTATATTCCTTAATATGAAACAGCAGCAGAGGCGAAACCGATTAAAACAAAAACAAGATTGTTACAAATTGAAGTAAAATGACAACCGGTGTATAGAAGCGAATGAATTGAAGTAAAACACTCATCATTAAATTCTCAAATATCAAACAGCAGTTGAGACAGAACCATTTAAACAGAAAGACTGTTACAAATTCGAAGTGAAATTACAATCGTAGTCTATTTCAGGGTAAAGAAACTCTCCCGCAACCTTTCATGTACATCTCCAAGTCATATGAAAAGACTGGCACAGAAGATGAACAATAGAGAAAAAAAAATGCTATTAATTCTACTAGCTAATGTAGCACCATATGCAGGCATTTAAATTTTGATATTTTTTGTTCACAGAAACTGTACACTTTACATTCATCATGGTATCTAAAATATCTTTGGCCAAATTGGAGACCAACCCTGTTATTTGTTCTCTAAGACGCAACCATTAAAACTTGGGCGTCTTAAAAATATTAAGAATTAAGAACTAATTACATGACATGGATTACTAAAATTTCATACATTAGTAATTTATTTCATCCATGCATTAATTATATGGCTTAGTGAGAAGCTGCACCTGAAAAATTTTAAATACTGACTGCAAATTCTGGTTTAAGCTGGTGGGATATGATCTTCGCCAAGCATACGTTTTGAGTGAGAGTGCTTCTTGCCTGGGTAACTAAAGATCCACCCCACAGATGTTTCATTGAACACTATTAGTTTATTGCCTATACACATTTGAAATAACTGGAAAATAACATTGCAACAAGATGTTGAAGTGTTAAACCAGTACCGCAGGATAGCTTCGAACCCAAGAGAAAAATTCAAACAGCGAAGCATTACATCCAATTTTCAGAGGATCAATAAGAAACTTTCTTCGTTATAACAGCTAACAAGAGAGAGAGGGAGAGATAGCCCATCAATTCTTATTTCAAATGTACAACATACAAAAGAACCCTATTACAACAAAAAATTGATGTTTCATTTTGTACAGGAAGTAGGTACCCAACAATATATAATTCAATAAACAAAAAAAAAAAAAAAAAAAACCCATCTCACCTTCACAGAGGACAACAAATCTTCTGTATCAAAACTGATAATTTTCCACTCCATCCATCCTATGAACTCATCCGATGGTTGCCACGCAGAACCTGAATCAAACATGAGGAGTTCCTCCTCACCTTCTCATTATCATCCTCCAGCAACCCGAGACAAATTTCCAAAACCCCTGCTTCCATGGCCTCCAGAACATTTCCTTCACTGTTACAACAGAGGGAATTGAGAGCCGCCAGAGCATACTGAACCCCCCTGGAGCTTCCATTCCTCAAAACCCGAGTCAGAATATTCACACACCCATGAAACCTTTCCATTTTCTCTCTCCCTTCCTTACACTTAGCCAGAACCCCAACAACTTCAACACTCCTTTCAAGCCCAGAATCAGCACTTCGAAGCAAAACAGGGACGGCCCCACATTCCACCGCTCTTCTCCGATTATCAGGGAAAGAACATATAGCGTAAAGCGCCGTCGCCGCTTCTTTCTTCTCTCTCCCTTTACCGTCCCGCACGAGGGATACCAGAGCTTCAATCGCATGCGGGTACGCACCGATCGTCGCTTTGTTCACCTCCACCACGGCCAAGCTCGTCAGCATAGTAGCCGCCACGGCGCGGCAATCGGAGGCGCCGGCCATGAGAACGGCGACGACGCGGCCGACCACGCCCTCCGCCACCAGGCCCACCTTGTTGTCGTCGTCAAGGCTGAGGTTCAGCAGGAGTGAGAGGGCTTTCTCCCGGAGGGAGTCGTCGCCGGAGTCTATGCAGAAGAGTACCGCCGGCACGACGCCGGACTCGGTGAGACGACGGCGGAAGGAAGAGTCGCGCTTGGAGAGGCGGGCGAGTTGGCGTAGCGACTCGATTTTGGAGTGGACGGAGGAGGAGGGAGAGGTGAGGGTGGAGATTAGGGTTTGGGGATGCGGCGGCGGAGGGTGGTGGAGAGGGGAAATGGGGGCATAGTTGGAAATCAAGCTTCGGAGGGCGTGGTTGGGGATGAGGGGATCGTGATCGGGGAGGGGCAGTTTGGTAATTGGACAGGTGCGGTGACCGGCGTCGAGCCAGCGTTGAATTGAAGAACGGTCGAAGGTGTGACCCGAAGAGAGGATGACCGGGTCGGACATTATTTCCAGCGAAATCGGACATTTGAAATGTTCTGGAAGCTGAGCCGCCATTGCTAACTTTCTCTCTATAACTTTCTCTCTCTAGGGAAGCTATGAATTTGAGTGAGCTTTGGTGGGTTTGAGAGGGGTTTATGACTTTCCGTTTCAAAGTAATTATTATAAAAACGGCAAACCCTTGTACGCAAGGGCAGTTCCTATAACGCATGGGTCTTGTGAATTGTGATAACTCGATTCAATTGTTCGCCAAAGAGCATTCTTCACTTTGATTATTATGAGTCTAAACAGCTTTGGATTGCAAAGAAAATAGGGATTAAGGAGGACGAAGGAAAATACCTACATCCAGCATAATTGATTATTTGATTCCAAATTTCCAAGCTTCTGCACCGTAAAGGATAAGTTTTTAAACAAAGTTGTATGTCCCAATCTAATAAAATCTATTTTCATTTCAAGTTTTGATTGAATCATTTATTATTTTAGTATATAAGAAAGGTATAATATAAGAGTTTGGTGTTTGTCATTTCAAATGATATAAGTTATGTTATTTTAGGAGAGAGTACACAGAAAAATGAAAATCATGGGAAAGAGAAGGTGAGTGATTTTTTTTAATTTAAAATTCAAATTTTCTGTGTCTGTATATCTCTTAAAATGACAAACATTTTTCTCATAATATAATATGTTATATTAAATAGGCAATACCATTAACCAATGACGGCGATGCAGGCATCGCACAAGTAATTTAGAATTATAAAGAAAAACCCAATTAAAATTGTCATCGTTGATTTCATTTTATATAAGTGATAACATGCATTTTGAATCTTATTTTTATCTCGAAAGCATAAATTCAAATGTTAATTATTCTATTTTTTTATATAAATTTATGAGAAATGTTATACGTACTACCTATTTTTTTTATTATATCTTACTATCAAATCTTAACCGTTGATTTTTGTCAATCTAACGGTTATAATTTATTGAAAATTAATAATTAATTAATAAGTATGACCCAATAAATTATAATTGTTAGATTGACGGAAATCAACGATTAAGATTTGATAGTAAGAGGTAATAAGTACAACCTCCCCTAAATTTATACATAAGTTTATTAATTGTTTTGACTTGTAACGTTTAAATTAACATCTTTTAATATATTGGTATAATAGTATGAAAAAGTGAAAACTCGAAATTTTTACTAGCTAATATATATATCTCGAATGTAACCATGAGTAAAATTTAGTTTATATTTTGTTATTGTATTGTTTGTATTTATTTTATCGTGATATTAATAATTACAAAGATGTTAATTTAGTTGTATTATTATAAGATAATATGTAATTTTATAGGCCAATAAATATTTCTCTTTTCAGTTTTTCTTCTCATAAAATTTATAGCCTAAATAGTGATATAGTTAAAAAATAAAATATCACAACAATATTTTTCTCAACTTTATATAGAAAAAATTAAATTTAAAGATAATTTATAACCATTAACCAATTTTATTACGGGGTGTTGATTTTACAAAAACAAGTTCATAGTAATAAGCATTTCTCAACTAATTATTGAATAAGCGGTATGTAAACTTTAATCAGTGGCTTGTAAAACAAGAACTTGTTGTCCTTAGTTTTTGTCACTACGAAAATCCAATTGAATTTGAAAGTGAAGAAGACAATAACGGTTAAAAATTAAAACAAATTCATATTTATCATTTCTTTTTATTTTATTTTATTTTTCATTTTTTCCATATGTTTAGAGTTTCCGAGTCGAAGTAAAAAAAATATTCATAAAGTGAATAACCAACAAGCTTAATGCCGATTTTATCACCTTCCACATATGGTGATATAATTTATTTTTTTTTTGATAACAATGGTGATATAATTTTGTTAGTTTAATGTTGGGTAAATATTTTCCTTATATATCTTGGGTTGGGAGAAGAAGGGTATTTGGGAGAATGCATGGGTACTATGTTCGTCTTTTCAACCTTCTCCATTTTAGTTATTTTGTGGGTTACTTTGGCGGAAACGAAAGGAATAGAGAGTGGCGTTTCTTTTCAAAGCCGAAAGTCATCATTCCATCTACTTTTACCTTATTAAAAAAAAAAGCCCGACTTCATCCCTAATGACAAAAGCATTATACATATGAATTTTTTTATTTTTTAATATAAAGTATATGTTGTGAAAACTTTAAAATTTTAAATTTACTTTTAAAATGTAAACAAGAAAAGAAATGATCATGTAATTAAAAAAAAATAGCCGTCCGCTAGCTTGGAGGAAAAAGGAGAGATAGTTGGAATCATTATCGCATTCAAGATTTTTATATTATATATATATATTTTTTTTTAATGAATATATTTTTGTATATGTTCCACTCACTCAAATTAATTTGATATAATTGATGTTAATATTTTGGTATACTTTGTTGAATATTTATTTATCATTATTACAAATTAATATTGACTAAATATTAAATTTATTTTAATATTGTATTAAAACAATTTTTCTTTTAATAATATTTTCTTTTAAAAAAATACACAACCCGATACGGGGGAGTTCATTTTCGATACAATATGTAATGGGCCCAATTTCACAAAAAAACAAATGGTAAAGTACAAACCACTGTGTTTGGCAGATTATATCCAAGGCTGAAGGAATGAAAGCAAAAATATGGGCAGTTGCATTTCAAACGGTAAATTTCAAATATGGACAATTATACCTGTAATAATAGTTTTTAGAAGTTACAGTTTAGATTCATTTGAATTTGACTGTAATTTCTGAATTTTAAATTTGTAATCTGTTACCATAAATATTCATATTAATGACAAAAATAAACCGGAAAAGTTTATAATCCAATCTCTTTCTATAATTCCCTCTCTCCCTTTTGTCTTTCTTTTCATTTATTTATTCAATAATGGTACATTAGTGCTTTTATTGAGAATTGAAACCATGAAAAAGCCTATTTATAAGCTAGATTAAGGTGCAATACATTTGAAAGGGTTATTGTAATGAATACTAATAGATAAGTGAAGTAGTCAAATGAAGAAAACAGTGTTTTAAAATTCGGATCGTTCATCGAACCGGTCGAGGTACTGAGTCATTGGATTATTGGTTCAACCGGGTTTAACCGGATCTACTGTTCACATATTAAAATATAAAAATATTGCTTATATTAATAAAATTCACATAAAAAAACTATCAATGAGCTTCAAAAAATAAATTGATTTTTAATGATAGCAAATATTATATACTTCTAAGCTTCTAGCTCTAGACCATATCTTAATATTGGATTAAAATTGCAATATAAGTTAAATGCACCTTTTGTGCTTGACATGATACGGATAAATTAAATCATGATAACAAATAGTATGCATGAAATATACACTAAGAAAAAGTGTCACCGTTATCATGATAACAAATAGTATGCATGAAATATACACTAAAAAAAATGTCCACCGTTGAGATGAGATCATGAGACCATCAATGTTTATCACCACATAACTTCATGAAATCATTATAAGATACAACTAAATTACATAAACGAACTGCACTAATCTAAAATACCTTATTATTTTCACCTTACTTTTAATTATATTCATTATAAAATATGAATATGATTTAATTCAAAAGTTCTTATCAACAAAAAAAAATTATCAAAAAAAAAAAAAGGAATAACCGGTCTAACCCGGGTCGTCGAATTTCGGCCGGGTCAACCGGTCCAATCCGAGTTAACTACAGAAGCGGTCCAACTACCCGCTCGGACCGAAAAACCCACTGGGTCACCGAGTCCCGGGTTGACCCGTCCGGTCCGAGTCGGGTTTTAAAACACTGAAAAAAGGTATACAGAGTTGGTATTGGTAGATTAGAAGTTGTCATAGACATTGACCCCTTAAAGAGGGAGACAATATTATGAATTTCATATTAGTTATATAGGTAATTAATGTAATATTTATAAGGCTTTAAGCATTTTCATATTTTGAGTTAGCTTTTGAGATGATAACCTCAATGTCCGTAACACAAGAAAAATATTATTTCTTTGTCAAAAAAATATAAAACATAGATTAAAAAAATCATAAAGTTATAAAAAATGATATGGTATTATATCTATGGGCAATGCTTTTCTTATGTTATTGGAGAGGAGGAAAGTTTCCTACACACTCAAATTCATGGTGGGACCTACACATAAAAAATAAAGAAAACAAAGAAAACTATTGCACCCAAAACGAACTCTCACTAACATGAGAAGAGAGCTCTCATATAACATAAGAATTCTTTTTTCCTATATCTATCTATTTTTATGTCTATTCAACATACGTTTCTCTAATATTTTTAAATTAGAATCTCAATTAACTTTTATTATTTTTTTCTTCTCTTAATATTATGATCTAATGATATGGGAGAAAAATAGGTAGAATAGACATGATTTTTTTTTTTATATACATGAATTATGTAGGCATAATATCTTATCTTATATATAAATATTATCCTTTAGGGGTGTTCGCGGTCTGGATTGGATCGATTTTAGAAGTAAAAATCATCCGATTCAATATCTTCGGTTTGATCATTTAATCATCCATTCGGTTTGAATTTTTTTCAAATCTGATCCGATCCAATCTAATTTTTTTCGGTTTGGATTGGATCGCTTTTTGATTTTTTGAAAATCTTAAAATTTATTTCATGATTATTGTATAAATAACATCTTTTGTATATATTGGCTTTGTAAATTATTATTTTTTGAAATACAAAAGCTTCAGTAAACGAAAATATAGTTTTTTTTTTGGCATTGAGATATGAAGCTCTACACAGATAAAATTTTGTTGATGAGATGTGATTAGGTTTTTTCTTGGGTGTAGTTGATGGGTTAACATGTCTTGAGTTTAAAAAATTTTGGGCTACGATTGGGGAAAAACCCAAGTAGATTGAGGAAAATTAATATATTGGATCGATTTGGATTTGATCGGTTTTCATCAACCCATCCGAAAACTGATCCAATCCAATTAAAATTTGCAGTTTTTTTTCGATTTTCGATTTATTCGGTTATCGACTTTTCAGTTCAGTCACCGCGATTTGAATCGATTTGGATCGATTGATGAATACCTCTATTATCCTTTTACATAATTAATAAATAATATACCAATCATTCGGTACTATACGAGCACGGGAATTTTTTTTGACATAAGGGTAGTAGACTTGAAAAACATGAACCATTCATTTTAGGGTTATATTAATATATGTATTATGTTATAGGAAAAACACTATTCAGTTCTGCAGACACTGAAAAAAAAAAATAAGAGAGAGAAACTAAGATAAGGAAAGAGAAACAAAAATTGTGGATCTTGCGTCTTGATTTTTTATGCAGGAAATCA